CTGGTTGATGAGAATAGGAGATGGGACAGAGCAGGTGACATCATAACAAACCACCTATCTGGCTCGGGACCTGACCCTAATAAATGAATTAAAAATAATATCCTGTTCAACCCTTATGGTTTTATAATTGGGCATAATCAGTGTCATTTTTGGGGCAGTCATATCATCATGATGTGCTGAACTGGTAAGTATAGGCTGTCATGTTTCTCCATCTCACACGAACACCAGAATCACAGATTAGTTCAATGTTTTTGTCTCTCCTCATCCATATGGCTAGGTCATTAAGGTATTTATCTGCCTTCCTCTTGCTCTCTTTCCCTCAGTCTTGCCCATAGTTACCAAGTTCTCAGGCCCATTCCCTCTCACAAAAGTCATAATATTTGACAGAAGATGCACTTTATAGCTTAGAACAAGATGTTCAGTGGGAAAGTAACCTTTTGCAAGAAGAAAGTTAGTTGCGTATCCTTTTCTTTTTCTGAAGGACGTCGCTGACCACATCACTCACCGAGCGCTGTTTAGTCTATGAAATACAGGTCAATTCCTATATACCCAATATGCCTGAAGGCGCGGAAAAGGGTCCTTTACTTTTACTTACTTCACTTGATTGTAACTGCCTTACTGTCCACTTCTGTCATATGAAAATGAAAGCTTTCTAACACCAACAATCACGACCAGCTCTATTTCTTGTCTGATCTGATATCTTTCATGCTTTATCTGAAGGCCTAACATTTATCACTTCAAGAAATATTTGTTTTAAAAATATCTTTTCATCTTTTATATAACAATGTCAGAACCAAGCATGGCTTTTAATGAAGCTAAGCACACCATTGCAGTGCCAAATGGAAAGCCAGGTATTTTAAAAAGAACCATCATCCAAGCCCTCAGGCATATTGGGTGCATGGTCTAACTACATTTTCAAATAGATTTACAGGTACTTGATGGCTGGTGCGGCCAAAATGATGCCAACTTGCTATACTACCCGCAGCATTTCTTGATACCAATTTTCTACTATAGATTAAAAAAAATTCCTGAAGATTCAATCATATGAACCCTAATGGGCTGCAGCCACCGCACTAGGTCATTTTCCTCCCGCTCTAAAGGTCACGGGTTCATATCACAGATGTTTCGTTTATTGGAGCAACAGAGTTTTGTGCTTTGTGTGATGCTCTCAGCAGATGGCTAGCTGTTCTCTGGAGAGAGACTGAGCAATATGGGATAAAACCAAGTGCACTGAAGTTAACCCTCTGCGCTTAAACCGCAGCTCCCCAGATTTCATCAAATGCCAAAAGTGCAAGAATAAAGGTTATAGTTCTTTTGCCTTTGTTTTGTTGTTGTTGCTTTCACCGGCTGTAAACTTTGGTGGAAAGTTCTGGTTGTTCATCCACTACTGGACTTTAGTCTTGTTCCAGAACTAAACCATACAACTCACAACGTGATAACCGCCATTTTAAGGTGAGAAGCAGAAGAAATAAATGTTGATTTAAAATTACCCAAATAGTTGTGTGAATGCCATGAAGACATGTGCAAGTGTTAACCATTGCTTTGTTCTATAAAAATGTATGAGATATTTGTGGAAGTAATACTTTTCTGATAACTGTAAATGTTAAACATTCAAAAAGATATTTTAAAAAGTGTTATCAGGATGTGTGAAAAACAGAAGCTCTGGTGGAGCCTTTCCCATCTGGTTTTCAGTTGCCCACTTTTCTAAACCAATTTAATAATTTATTATTCATCAATTTTGCAAAAGATGTGCATTTTATTTATTTATTCTGAAAAATAAAATTATTTTGTTGTTCACAATTTTGAAGACAAAATGATGTAACAATTCAAAAGCATGAATGCTAGTTGTGTCAACTCAACTCAGAAACAAAAAACTGTACCAACAAACAAATTATTTAAGCTTAAACAATGAGGACAACATTTACTTCCTGGCACACTGTGCTGTATGTTGCCAGGTAAATTAATATATATTGCCTGTGTCCTCACCATTTAAATTTACAATGAAAAAATATTGTTTTCAATTTCTGAAATGTTTTTAAGTTTACTACACACCATATGTCGTCTGAGGTATGTGTCTCTGAACACTGGAGATGCCCACAAAGATTTTGAAGCTCCAAGAATTGCCAAGTTATTAAGCTAAGAAGCATGATGAGTGTAAAAATATAGAAACTAATAGAATGCCTCTCAGTATAATTACCTGCATATATATAATATAATACATATATACAGTAATTATTTCTGATATTGTTACTTAAAAAAATATATTAAAACAATAAGGAAAGTAAGGTAAGTAAAGTAAAGGACCATTCTCCACGCCTTTAGGCGTATAGGGCATAAAGGGCTAGACCTATAGCTTTATAGATGTGGTCAGCATCACGCTGGCCGCCTCTACTTCCCAGGACCGCACCCGGCACTCACTCAAGGCTGGGTCGACCTGAGAGCCAAAGTCATATTTGAAAAAAGTCCTGCCCCCGCCAGGGAGCGAATCCACGACCTTCCG